CTAATTTGCATTGTTACATAAAAAATTTAAATTAGAGTTTCTAATTAAAGAATGATGGAATTTTTTTGAAAAGCATATCCTTTTCCAATGTAAAAAAAACTCTACGAGAAACATCTATTATTTGTTGAGGAGCAAAACTTTGTTGTTTAATGTTCTTAAATCTTACAATTTCAAGAGTTTAATATCAAGAATTGACAAATACCATTAATACATAAATTACTTATTTTTTCTCAGATGTTTACAGTATTTAAAATTTGAAGCTAAAGCTCATGTTGTGACGTAGAATAACAGATCTCGTTCACGTCACTAATGTTTTTCTATCCTTTTTCTTTTTTCAGGTGAATCCTGATCCACAAATCCAGTCTAAGCTGGGCAACTATTCGCTGGTGAAGCATCTACTCGATAAGCCTAAGCGCCTGTTCGGCATCGAGCAGAGTGGCATCCCGCAGAGTCCGGCGCCATCGCCGACGCCCTCCGCCCACAAGTCGGGCACGGACAGCTCCGGCAGAAGCTGTTCCCCGTCCTCGGGGCCGGAGTTCAAGAAGCCTGGTGGACTTCGGGGCACGAGCGTCGCGTCTTCCTCGTCGAGTGCGAGTCACCAGCGGGGCGGCTTCGTCAAACCCGCTGATGGCAAACCGCCTTACGGTGGTCGGGGTGGTTATCCCGGCCAACCGGTTAAGCACGGCGGCAACGATCATCGCAGCCACGGATTACTTCCGGCTAAGGGCCCGCCGCTGCCTCAACCATCCTCCACGGGGGGGAGCAACGGCACGGTGCCGATCGGCAATATCAGCGGAAGCGTTACCAGCGTTACCAGCGTTGCCGGTAACCCCGGCGGCAGTCTTTCAAGCCGCACTCAATTTGCCTGCCGGCTGAAGCTGATTGAAGTTAACGTGAGTAATCGATCTTTTTTGTGTCTCTGTCCTTCGCGCGCGTCGATCGCTCTGATGACTTGAATCGTTTTGGATATGGTTTGCATGCGTAATGACCATCCGTTCCCCCGAGAGTGGCACGGTAATGGCTTTTCGGAGGTAACGCAGGTTTGATCGTTTCGCTTCGAGTGGAGATTGTTTGCACGCTGGGTGTCCCGGAAGTCGCGTGTTTCCTGCGACATAGATAGCGTGGGGTCGAAAGAGCGACGATAATGATCGAAAGGTATTAACATAACAGTGTCACGATAAAACGAGGAAACACGATAAAAGGTTTCGAATTGCATGAGTTATGTCATGAGAATTTTTTATGAATATGAAATCATTAGAAATTACAGAAAGAGGGGATAACGTAAAAAGATTAGATAAACATTTATTAGGGAAATAAAAAAATATACGGTTTTATGTATATATTTTTTTATCTTTACATGAATATTACAATTATTATCTGGATTATATAAAGCGATAATATTAAAAACTTCTCTTTATCGATTCTTTCGCTGTCTTAATTCTACTGCGAACGAGTGAATTCTAAACTGACGAGTATGAAAAATGATCGTAGGAGTACCGACCTGCGAACACGTGAATGAAGAATGCTTGTACATAATTTCTGAAATGTCTCGCATGCACGTCGAGGAGCAAGAAGATTAATCTAAAGTTTGAAAGCGTTCCAGTGGTATTGAGAAATAAATAATTGTCCAGAGAGAAATTTCTGTATAAATTGACGTGTTCAGTGCTAAAGGAACAATCATTGTGAATATCACCTTACGTATGCTTGGTTTATGCTCCGGTTTTAACTCTATAATTCTAAAATCAGCCAATAGAGCTGCCAGTCTTAATTGGTCCTAACTGAAATCTGTACTCCATTGGGTGAATTTTAGGATTAAGAATTTTAGGGTTAAGATCAAAGCATAAACCAGGCAGTAGACAGTTTTTAATCGTTTTTTTTTTATATTTTTACTTTATTTTTTTATTTTTTTAATTCTTGAGACTAATCGATCGTTGTAATATTCTACGCATTTGGATTGCAAGATTACATAATAAAAGTCCATAAAGCCACACTCTTAAATATTAAGAGGAGCAGTAGTTAAATTATTTAATTCTACTGTTTTGTTAAATTAACGACATATTGAGTAGGAGTAGTCGTGATAAGAGCAATGGTAACTTAGAAGTGATTAAAAATAATTCAAATTGAGTATAATTTGACATCGAATTGAACAGCATATTTTATCGGAATAAAACTCATTAAAGCATCGTGCTCCTGTTTCATCTGGTGCGTTGATTTTTTGTTTAACGTATCATTAAATTCACATGATATTAGCGGTCTTTCGATGAGTGCGCCGGTGATGTCGCGGTGGTGCCAGAGACTCACAAAGTCTCGAACTACTTTAATAGTACGTCTCGCCGAGAGTTGCGATTATTTGTCGCGTAAGAAGATTAAGAGCGAAGTTTCCGCGGCGGCTCGACGCTATTGTCGCGCGTTACTAAACGAGACGCTGTCGGAATTAACAAGTTGCTGGAAATCATTATGCTTGCCAATAATCCTCCCTATGTGCTCCTAATTATTCTACAAACTCCATTGTAATAATGCAATTTTAATATTGGTAAATTACCGTTCTCAATATTTTTCGATATCATTCTCTGTAAAATCAGATAATTTTTAAATTTTAATTAACCAATGAATATATGTAAAATGCATTAGCAATTCATTGAGTGTCCGCGATTGGTGCAGTAAATAATCATTATAATAATTACATTAATTTCGAATATATGAAAATATATTTTTGGAAAAATTGATACGAACCGAATTGTTGTTCGGTTTGCGCTACAGCAATGTCTTCAATTATTAATCATTCCTTGACGTCCGGAACGCTCTTCGTTTCCGCGTTCAGACGAACAAATCACGACGTTTCCTCCCTTCGCAAATCACAGGAGAAAGATCAAGCAACCATGGCATTAATCATCAAGGAACCATAATAAAGAGGTTATTATTATCCTCATCCTCTCTCTCCTTTACGCCGACTTTGAATTTCCATTCCGAGATCATCCGGTGGGTATCAAACGAAACCAGTTGGCTCGACAGGCTCTCGTTGACAGAGAACGAATTGCTTTTCAATGGAAATCCAACTGGGCGGGGTGGTCCAGATCGTTGGAGTAGGGATAAAGAGGGAGAGGGGAGAGAGGAGAGTTGGAGTTTCGAGTCGGCGGGCGCTATTATCTCTAGCTCCTCGAGGTGCAAATTTCATTGAGATTGGCTATCGATCGTGTCTCCTTTTTCTGTGTCCCCTTCGTCCCTTCTTTTGCCGATCATACGTTGCCCATCTTTGAAGTGCCTCTCTTTCTTCGGGTGTACTTATACAATTAGGACCGATCTGGAGTGTGAGGAGCATCCCGTTTCTCCTTCCACCTTCGCGTTCTCCTGGAAAATTGATTCCCGTCCGTCCCTTCGCCGTTCCTTCCATAGCTACGGCTTTCTTTTTCTTCCTTCTTTGACAATGGCTGCCTTCGTCGGATCCTTCGAGTCGTTGACCATTCGTCCTCATCCGCGAAATTAGTTTGGAATTACGTATAAAGAAAGGTAAATGGAAAAAAGAGGGATGCGGTGGTTGTCAACCGGGGAGTAAATTCGCAACTTAAGTATATCGACGTACGTTGTTAATGAAATAATGTACCTTGAGTCTTTCTTGCGTCACTTTCTCTCCATTCTTTTTTATTCCGATTCGCCCACATCTTTTATTATTCCTTCATAAATATCTGATATTTCTGTTCAAAAAGTAATTCGCGTTTGCGTGTTTTTGTCGGAAATAATTTAATTAACTGTCGGTACAGCGCAGAGGAATAAAAACGAAATAATTAAATTCTACTCGATTATGAATTGCTCATAAACAAGTTTGAAGGTTATTAATTTCTTTCAAATTCGTAATTTAAACATTTCTCTATTTATCTCTATTTATCTGGTTGCTCGCAAGTATAATAATATGTACAAGTATATCTCTATCTCCTTTTTCCTCGCTTCGTATCTCTCTCTCTCTCTCTCTCTCTCTCGCTCTCTCGGGTTTTCTCATTTTTCGCTCGTTCCTTTTCTGTGATTATCCAGTCTCGTCTGCCTCCGTTTTTCGCTCCGTCCTCCGCGACGCGGTGTCCTCCGGCTAAAAGTTAGTAGACACTCTCAACCCTTTCCTCGCATCCTTGTCATCCTTTTTCCTCCCATCATCCCTCCTCTTCCAGCGCTCGAGCCATCCTCACGCATTCTCCATTGTTCACGCGTTTTCTTTCCAGGAATGACTACTCGACGTTGTTCGTAATACCACCTTTCAGGATGTGTCCTCCCGTTCGTCTCATTCTACACCCTTTTCAATGCCTTCTCTTCTCGGCGATGTTGATTAATGATCGCTCGAGGAGGCTCGTCATAAATCGCGGAGGAATTTTACGAGGGAGGATAGGTTCGTTTGTATAAATTAATCCCGCGAACGCGAGGCACTTCGAATTTGGTTCTTATGCGCGCGAAAAGAGACACCGATCCGTTGTCGAGGAAATAAAGTCTGTTTAACTTCGGATACTTATCCAAATTAAAATAGCGTTACTCTTTTATGATATAAATTTTTTCACCGTTTACGTTTTTATTCTACTAGAAATAGATTTATATCATTTTATTAATAAATTAATATTAAATATATTAATTTTATTTTAATTAATACATTAATATATTAATACATTAATATATTAACAGGGTTGCTACAAAACTAGGGAATTGTATCAGGGAAATTGAAAATGGTCAGGCAAATTAATCTTGGTTTGTAAATCTCGGTATCGATTGATTTTTCGAACCGTTTGATTTGATATCAATTACATTTTCTATTAATCTTTGACGAAGATCGACATTTTATCAATGCGTCGATTTTCTTCCGAAGATCAATAGAAAATCTGGTAAGTATCAAATCAAATGGTCCTAAAATCAATCGATTTCGAATACGTCATACATTACACGCAGTTTTAGAATACTACCAATCTAATAATTAAAAATGCAAGCGGTATAACAATTAAATGGCCACATTAATAAGAGTTTACATTGGTATGTTAAATTAATCTCAACAAAATATTTAACGGTTTCAAATCAGGAGTTAGTCATATAACTTTTTCTCTAGGACAGAAATGTAAAAATTTTTATCTGTGCATGTATGTACATATACATATATATGTACATGTGTGTGTGTGTGTGTGTGTGTGTGTGTGTGTGTGTGTGTGTGTGTGTGTGTGTGTGTGTGTAAAAAATTTCACTTTTCATGTTTTCACCCTAGGGAAAAAGTTACATGATTGATCTCTAGGATGAAAATATTTAAAAATATTATTGAAAGAGGAACGTCATAAAATTTTATCTGACAATTAGGGTAAAGTTATAGAATTTGTGACACCGCTGATTAATAAAAATACAATATACAAAGATAGACAAGTTACAACAATCGCAACTAACTTTTTTCAATCTTCCTTTTTCAGGGCTCTGTGCGAACACCGATTGATACTCCAGACGTAGAAAACATTTTAAAGGTAAGTCCTCTATAAAAGTTTAGTTATCATTTAAGTAATTATTGCAGAGTTAAAAAAGTAAAACTGTCACGCGATGAAGTTCCTTTTGTCTCACGTGAAACATGAAGTGTTAGATAAATGAATTTTTCGATAAAATGTTGTGAGACGCGGAACATCAGCGGCTCGCTCTGAAGACTGATTGAACAACACTTGAACACTCCTCCGCGGACAAACACGAGATCGGATGTTGCGAGACGTATGATCGTCGGGCTATATTCAATGTCGAGTTCACTTACCCGGCTCGATGGGAGGCTCATGCTCGATCAATAAGTCAATCTTCTCGCCGATACGCAAGGCTATCTCATATAGAATCGATTTACCATTCTGGTATCGTTCACCTCCGGCGCATCCGATCTTCAACGACGATATTATGTCACGCCTTCGCGGGATAAGCGGTCTCGATTTCTCGTTAATCGAAACTGGTGAGACGCGATACATAACTGCCACGGAGGACAGTCACGCGAATTTTTCTTAATGACGATATAATACTTATGAATTTATCTCGCTCTCTTTTTCTCTGGAATTTATCCTACCTTTTTTACGGAGATTAAGCAAGGAAATACGCGGCAAGATTTCTCAGCGAGTCTCTCCTGGGAAGGCAGATCGCGGTCGCCTTTTTCGCGAAACCCACGTTCGACTTCTGTCGATTTCCAAGTAAAAGCCTCGAGTCCTTCTCTGCGTTCTTCGTTAATCCAGAAATTAAGAAAGGAGATTGCATTTATCTTATTTCCCCCGGTGATCTTTCCGCTTTTACTTGCGAACTTTTTCTCGGCGCTTCCTCCGTGCAGAAGTTCTTTCGAGCGAGAACTACGACGAAAGCACCGTTATCATTGCTCGCGGTTTGCAGAGACTACTCTGGAGTTTCTTTGAGCCTCGTTATTAATTAGTGTTGATACGGTTAAATGTACTGTCTGTTGTTCGTTTAATTATATTGGTCGAATAACTCGGAGTTTCCGACTAGCGACCAATGTGATTAAACATTTCAATGGTTCGACGAAACTTTTATATCCGTGTGTCGATCGAAGTTGCTTTACTGTCTCCTTACGCTTGTTAATAGAAAATTTATTAAAGCGTAGCCCATGTGGACATTCCCAGGCAGTCTTGTAATGCGAAAGTTACTTGACAGTATGGACGATGTATAAGTATGATTATATTTATTATATTACTTTTGTACATGTGCTATAACACGCAATGCTATCCTATCAATCTCCGTGGAATATTAACTTTCGGCTATGTGAAATTTTGCAACTTCCATCAATGACTTTTATCAATATTTTTATTGTTTTTAAGCTTCGGTGCAGATTAAATTGTTTTGGAACTGTACGGAAAATGTGAAAAAATTCTTGCTTAAAGCTTTGAACTTGTAAAAGCTTTTTTTTTAACAACGTAGGTTTTTATTATCATAGAAGGCCGACTGTGTTTTATTTATTTTTTTGTAGATTTAAATTTCTTCAAAATTCACAATCAAAATATCAATTGTACCTTCAAAGGCGAATAGTCGAAGTTCGAACCTAGAATGTGCTATCGATATTGAGTGATACAGTATTACTATCGATACGTAAATTTTATATACGGAAGAAATAGACTACTCTTAATTAATGTAACACAACATTTTTACGTTTCATACTTTTAATGATATCTCTCTCTTTAGAAATATAAATAACTTAATTATTAATTTAAATAGAAAGAAAGAATAAACATATATTTGATTCAACCTTGAAATGTCTAATGTCTCCCATAACACTTATCAATAAAATATACATATAGTAACGTAAAACCATTTAAAAAATGAAATCACTTATCACGCTCTCTGTTATAATACTAACCAAAGAGTTTAATCTGATATACATATGACGGACTGAATTTTTAAAAGCTTGTCCTCGCTTGTCCTAGTTTTTAACATGACAAATTGGATCTTTTCGTGACCGTGAAAGTATAACTTAGCGTTTAATAACCTTGCTTACTTGTACGTAAAATTTAAGTATTGATAGCATTCTAGCGTCCTTAACTCGACAGAGGATAAAGACTATAGCACATAAAAAATTTAAGCAGTAAACAAATCAATATTTTGAATTTGTTATAGCAAAATATTGCTATACTTACATTATTGCTTTTCTACTATAATTGGCTAATTTCTTTATTATCTATGATTTATTACTAAGTTTTTTGTGGGCCATAATCTTAAGTCTATCACACACAAATTGATATAAGCTACATATCGAAAAATACATACTATATATAAACAATCATTATTGTTTCAAGCATTTGAAAAGTTTATGTATCCGCAAATCTATCCTAAATTTATTGCAAGTAAATTTATTTAAAATATATTCTGAATTCTTTAGTGAGTTTAAAATACTTTAATTAATATTATTAAATTAAAATAAATTCGATTCGCTTATTATATAAAATCGCTTCTTTCATCAATTTTATAATATTTTTAAAAAGAAAATAAATTCTTGGTTTAAGTAAATAATAATAAGGTAAAATTCGTAATAAGTATATTTTAAAATTATGTCACAAGAGAGAGAGAGAGAGAGAGAGAGAGAGAGAGAGGAAAATATTTTCTGTTCATGCAGCTTACGTCATTTTGTGCGTGGTGGGCTTTATTCTCAAAGAATCACGTATAAACAGTTTTTACCGACATTTAGCGAATTATCTCGCTTTTAATTTCGCAAGAACGCGCAAACCCGCCGCTGTCTGTTGATCTTAATCGGCCGTAAGCCGACAGACGAAACGACAAAGATAATATTTTGTTTAATACATTTTTTTTATTACGTAGCAAGTAAACAGACGAGTACCGTTATTCGCGGACCAACGATACGATTATGACAATCGCCTCACGCGAGATCGTAAATACTTTTCTAAACGCCAGCGGCAAAAACTGTGCAGTCGCACAGAAAGCAAGCCACGGCTGTTTGCGCGCGGTGAGAAACGGAATTACGGTGGTAAAGAACGCGTCTTTACGCGGAGTGTCAGCCTCTCTC